TTCTAGTAGTGACTCCCAAAGGTGATTCTCACTCACACCAAGTGTTTAGATGAAGGGAATGGAAGAAAAGGCTTCAAAGCTCAAGAATTAAAGAAGAAGAGCAATGGAACAGTGTTTGAAGACCCTCAACCGCCCAAAGTCACGTAGGAAAAGAGAGTCTACGGTTTTGTGCCCAAAGAATGAGTATATATAGCCACTTAACCATAAAACACACAGTAATAACTTTAATTGCTACGCTTAGCATTTTAATCCCAAACTTATGATTCTTAACCTACTCAATTTTACAAGAATTATCATATTTTTATTATATTTTTCGGAGCACCTTTCCAGTACGTGCTTTTCATAGCCAGTATCAGTTTCTGACACCAGTTCTCATCATTTTAACTTGAAACTCGTTTCACAAGTCAAATATATTATTCTAGGAATTATCATGCACTTATTATAATTTTTTGGGATACTTTTTTGGTACGCATTTGTACCGACTAGCAGAACTGGTATCTGCACTTTTCTTCCGAAAAGCGACTTTCAGCATTCGTAATCAGAGCAAGCTTCAAGTGCATGAACTGAGATGTAAAAACAAGTAAGAAAAAATGATAAAAAGGAAGAAAATATCAGAGAAGTAAAAGATGCGCTCTGCCCTATGGCTTCAGCCACCCCCTGATTACTCAAATGATTCATCTCTTCTTCTCTTTTACACTTTATGTTTCTATTTTTCTTTTGTTCTTTAGTTTCTTGAATGTTCCTTCCATCTGAATTTTGTTTACTCTATTAGTTGATTTTAGTTTTTCTATCTTTAAGTGATACTCTCATCATACACAGGGCCAAAGCATCTTTGCCCGGATTTAAGGTTCTTCACTTCCGAAAATTTGTATGTTGAGGGCTTGTAATAACTAACAAATTCAACCCCAAAAGAATACGTATGTTATTGTAATATTTTCAGGTAGAAAAAACTAACTTTCTGGTCGTCTGAAGCAACTAATGAAAACCATATAGGATTTTTTTTTTCGATGGAGAGAAGAAAAAGAAAAAGAGACAGGAAATGTGTTAGAAGAAGAAAACAATTTTTATAAGGAAAGACGCTGAATAAAAATCATTCGGTGAAGAGCAGTCACGAACGTGTGCTGGGACTTGGGAGAGAAGTAAACGACATGTGTTTGGGGTTTCACAAGAAAGACTTAACAGGATTGGATTTTTTTTTACGGAGATACTTATTGTTTAAATTGTATAATATATTTAGGTTAATTGTCTTAATTAAAACGAAAGGGTGATTTTCTGAACAGGAATCAAAGTTCAGGGTGCTAAATTGTAATTTAGCCTAAATTGTTTTTAGTAAAGATGAGATATATTTTATAATTAATTAGAAATGTAAGGAGTTATTTTAGTGGCTGCATTACCAAGAATGCAAGCACATGTACTAAGAAAGAAACATATCTTATTTACGGCTTATATTTTAGTGTTTTTATATCATTAAGTTGAATACTATTTTTTTATGTTAAGTTGAAGTTTTCTTTTCTTTTCTTTTCTTAGGGATTATATCCCTCATGTTATAAGAACTAATTTTTTTTATGATGTTAAGAAAAAGACAAGTTATATAATATTAAAAAAAGTGAGAGGGCACATTATTTAATGAATTGGTCTTGTCCTTTTTTAACATGACAAAAAATTTGGTTCATGTAACATGAGGGATATAAATCCGTCCTTGTTTATATTCTTTTATTTTTTAATGCGTTTAAAACTTTGTTTAATAAAATATTTTCGGGAGGCGCTGCGCCCGAACCTCTGAACCTCCGCACAAAATGTGCATACATAAATAAAATTTTCTGGGTCCACCACTTTGTCAGGGGCTATTATGATAACGGCTGTAATCAATTTCTGTTTTAATTCTTCAAAAGCTTTCAAGCATGCGTCATCAAATCTAAAAGGAACATTCAATTCCAACAGGTGACTTAGAGGTTTAGAAATTTTTGAAAAATCTTTTATGAACCTTCTATAAAAACCTTCATGTCCAAGGAAACTCTTAATTCCTTTTACATTTGATAGAGGCGGAAATTTCTCAATCAATTCTACCTTAGCCTTGTCTACTTCCATCCTATCTTTGCAGACTTTTTAGCCAAGGACTATACCCTCTTTAACCATAAAGTGATATTTTTCCCAATTCAAAACTAAATTGGTTGGCTCACATCTCTTTAGCACTTTCTTCTAAGTTGCCTAGGCAATCCTCATAAGAGTATCCAAACAGACTAAAATTATCCATGAAAAATTCAAAAATCTTTCAACCATGTCAGTTAAAATAGCCATCATGCACCTTTGAAAAGGTGGCTGGTGCATTGGACAGCCCAAAAGACATTCTCCTAAAGGCAAAAGTGCCATAATGGCATGTAAAGGTGATTTTTGGCTGATCTTCAAGTGCTAAGGCTATTTGGTTATGACCTGAATAGCTATTGAGAAAACAATAATACCTTCTTTCAGCCAACCTATCTAACATCTGATCTATGAAGGGGAGAGAAAAATGGTCCTTCCTAGTGGCTTTATTGAGTTTCCTATAATCCATACAAATCCTCAAACCAGTGACAGTCCAAGTGAGGATTATCTCCTTGTTCTCATTCTCAATTACAGTGATCCAACCTTTCTTTGGTACACATTGAATTGGGATTACCCAGTTACTGCCAAAAATGAGATAATGCATCCAGCCACTTTATAATCTCCTCTTTCGCCGCCTTATTCATTATGGGGTTCATTCTTCTTTGCTGCTTAAAGGACCTGTTGTTTGGGTCATTCAATAAAATTTTATGCATGCAATAAGGTGGACTTATTCCCTTAACATCTGCCAAAGTCTAACCTATGGCCTTTCTGAATTTTTTTAAAACAACTAGCAGTTGTTTTTCCTCTAAATTAGTAAGGAAATTAGACACAATGACAAATAATGTGTCTTTTTCTCCTAAATAAGCATGCCTAAGACGATTAGGCATAGGCTTAAGCTCTAAGATAAGAGGTTCATCAATTGAAGGCTTTGGAAGTCTAAATCCCCTCTTGGACAGTTCTAAGGAATCAAAAAAATTTCCTCTCTAACTAGGACAGGTTCGGTGTTCAGCCAATTTTTACATTCCTCTACATTTGCATTATCTTCCTCATAATCCTTAATGGTAGTATTTGTTAATGGGTCCTTTAATTCTTCCTCTTTAAATTTTTCTTTAACAGGACAATCAATCACATCAATCCAAGAACAATCTTATACCTCCCTTGGGTATTTCATAGCTTTTAAGACAATAAACTTCATCTTTTCACCATTCACATTCATGGACAACTCACATTCTTTTACATCAATTATGGCTCCTCCAATGGCCAAAAAGGGTCTTCCTAAAATTATAGGGACCTCCTTATAATCCAAAATAATAAAATCAGCAAGCAATATGTGTTAGATATAGGTGTCTAAGAGATAATCTGAGAGTCAAAAGGACTCATGTACTTCTTTATTGTTATGAATAAATTTTATGAATAAAAGCATTCTTTATCTTGTTTCATATTGTATGTCTCAAATATTGAATATGAGTAACTGGATAAAGCCCTTGGAATGGAACAGGTGTCACATTGAGGATCTGTGATAGGGATAACGATCATGAGGGCTCAATGACACCACACGTCCATTGCCAGAAATATGTTCCTAGTCTAGAGATATCGATAATGGGCATTGGTGTTCCTAGGTAGGACTGGCACGACTCAGCTACTTGCAAGGTGATGAAAGGTAGAGTCCTCGTGAGATACAAGCATGGAGATGTCTTAGTTGACTCGTGGGTGGACCTATTGAAGAATAGCTCGCACTGAACTGACCCACAAAGAGACACTACAAGAAAATCTCACAGATAATATCAATAGGTAATGTCTCTTATTGTTTGGGTGCGCCTTTCCTTAGACTTGACATTATCACATAGACCTATGCTCTGGAAGGCTTGCTTTGATTGTATACCTTCTCTGCCTGAAACATGCAAACTAGTAGGTATACTCTTGGGCATGCCCTAAGAACTCAAGGCTAGTGTGACAAGCTGAAGGAATTCGTCAATCTCTATGAGAGATTAGGTTATCCATAGACCGGTGAAACTGGGATGACATTTACGGGACTCAGGAATTTATGCATAGTAAAGGAGTCATGAGATGGCCCGCTTTTTAGAGTCTGTAAATGAAGATTTCTTGTTTCGGCAAAAGTTAATCTTAGACCGCAAGGGTTGATATATTTTCCTTGACCAAGGTCAATGGAACAGATAACCGAGACGAAAGGACAATTCACACGGTAACCAAATAGGTATAATAGGTTGATCATTCGATGAACTCAACTAGCTCTGAGACAACAAAGCTTGCTAGTGCTTTGTGTTGTCATTAGATGGATTGGGCTTAATGGGTCCAAGTCCATTTATGTCAGTGGCTATGTTGGGCCTGATGGGTCACACACAAACACCTTAAGTTGTCTTGAATTCTAGCATATGTGATTTTGGCCCAATAAGGGATAATGGGCCTAAGTTGGTAAAGCCCATATATTGGGCCAAGAGATGGTAGGAGGTGTAACACCCCGTAGTACTCCGGTTGTTAACATACATGATATTTGGCATACACAGCGAAAGACTTTATTTTAAAAGAATAATAAAGCGTTTTACAAAAATACAAGTAAGCTTTTTCCAAAACCTTTTATGAAAACATTTCTAAAAACGTTCACGTGAGATACTGCAAAAGCGTAAATCTAAACATACATCTCCTAATTAACCCCATGAGCCAGTATTAGTGGCCATTGACCATCAAGATATGACATCAAGTGTCATTCCTGATGGAGTCTCACAGATAGCATAACAGCTGTATTTCAGAAAACTAGGAACATGGTCCCGCACATACAGGTCACCTAATTGATACAATAATTTAAACAGATAGCTTGCAAGTCCCACACGGACTGCAATCCCCTCAATCGGTCAATACAAATAATAAGGCTCCATGCCTAAATTAACTGAATACATGCATCAAGTCTATATTAATTCAAAGTATAAAAGCATCAGTAAATAATCCATGGCTCTAACAATACAATCATGAGCCTAAATAAATACATACAATAATCTCCCTAAAATAATTAAGCATATTAACAAGTCTACATGCCAACATCAAATCTAAACATAATATAAAAACATTAGCTGCATCATCAACTACTCCAATGCGGGGGGCCTTGCCCCTAAAAGCATCACCACTACTCTGGGTACCTGAAATTATGTCCCCAAACGGGGTGAGATAACAACATCTCAGTAAGCTCAAGGTTCATAGAGGATCCTCTAACCCCTGAGCCCACTTCCTGCATGACAAGTCAGATATAAAGCATATAATACAGACATACAGCATAAACATAGCATCATCATATCATCCTTGTGTAACCCCAGGGTCAAAGTCATAGACAATTACACATGTGTGACTTCCAGGGTCAAGCCATAGACAGTCAACACAACCTCAGTATGAAATAGCTCCCAGAGTCAAGTCATAGGCAGCCTACATACCATGATCACTGGCCAGGATCCTCATAACATATATCATTAGTGCATCATCATAACATCAAGATCATATAACATCTATATGAATGTGAATGAATGCACATATACATCATACCATATACTTTCATACAATACAACCATAATGCCCACCATCATGGTGGGGCCATAAGAGAGAGGAGTCAACTAGAACTAGGAGCTTACCTTAGGGAGCTTAGCACAAGCCCACACTCCAATATAATACGTATGCTCTAACACAGTCCTCAAGTGCACGGTTCTCTAGGCACACCTAGAGTAGGAACCATTCACATCATTAATTACATATTAATTAATCAAGTCATATCCACGACTTAATCATTTAATGATTCCACTTTTCATACTCATAAGCCAATAATATGCCCATTACAAGTCTAGACCAATTATTACTTATTACATATTTTAATGCATTATTACAAGCCACTTTAATCTTCAATTACTTACATAGCTTAGAATCACATGCAAGGCTCACTTAGGTAAATTAGATTATTTTCAACTCATCCAAGCCATATTTATGATTATTATAAGTTACTAAGGATTCTCATAAGCCCACTTAGCTTAAATATCACTTTTACGGTTTTTCCATAACTGTACATGCTTCTGTTTTCTAGTTACTGGGTGCGACTAACTTGTTATAAAATTCTTATCTTTTAGTATGCTAATATAGACTCAATTACCTTTCCATAAAGGTATCACATGCCTCATTTGGAGTTTCCTAGCTCCGGTTATCACCATTTGAAGTTGAAAAAGCGAAGCTGTTTGCCAACTCCGAACAGGGCCCTAAACATCATTTACCATTTCTGTGATTCTGGAAAATATACTAAACCAATTGCTCTAAAATTTTTATGTAGATACCTAGACACCTTTATCTTTAATGCTAAATATTATGAGCCTAATTTGAGTAAGCACAGAGGGAGAAAAAATTTGTGGAAGTTGAAGCCATGTACAGCACCCCTGCACATGGCCTCCATGTGCAGTCCTCACTCAAACGAACATACAGAATGGAATACATCTTCAATTGATACCAAATTTTGACACCAAATATATAACATCTCAAGCTTCAATTTGATATAAGGCACATCCCTATATGACCTCTGTGGAGGGAGATATTCTCTCCCCAATTTTGCTTAAAAACTGGTTACTTAGCTTTAAATGTGTTTACTTAACAAACCTTGTCGCAACCGTATCGCGACGTGACGGCGAAAGAATATTGAATGGTTAAAACAATGGAGTCGCCACCAAAGTTTATTTAGGAAAACATTGGAAAAAACCTTTTTTAAAGACAACTGGTCTTTGAATACAAAAGAAATGGATTCGGGAGTCGATTACGAGTAGGGAAGGTATTAGCACCCTACACCGTCCGTTAAAAAACGGTTACCTTATATTAATTGTGCAAATTATTGATAATATTTTAAATATTTATTTCACCCTAAATAAAATTGATCGTTGGAAAAGACAACTAATTTTGAAATTTTATTTTTGTGCTTGACGGGAAGAGTCCCGCTCCGACGTATCCCTCGGTACAATAGGGAACTCAAAGCTACGTCGTTCTGTAGAAAATATTTGTGTGTTGATTGGTTTTAATTTTTTGAAAGTAGTTTTACTTTGAAAGTTTTGGATTTGATGGTTTCGGACTATCAAACTGTCGCAGCTAAAATAATCCGAAATGATAATTGTAGGATTAACAAGCTGTCTCAACTCAGCTAATCCTTTTTTAGAAGAATAATAATATTCATATTATTAATTTTTGTTATCGTAAATTTTATGATAAATTTGATTTAATTTTGAATCACCAAGCCGTCTCGGCAAAAATGAGTCAAAAGCAAAATGTGTGGGGTTAACAAGCCGTCACGACTTCAATTGGTAACAAATTGATCTTTTATTTATTTATTATTATTTTTTAATTAACCCAAAAATTAAATAGTTTTAAATAAAACTTTGATTTTTTTGTTTATTATTACTAAATAGTCTAAAATCATCGGACAGTCACAGTCGAAATGATTCTAAAGAATTAACAAGCTGTCACAACTCAGCTAATCCTTTTAACATATATTTCATGTTATTTTATGATAACCTTAAATGAATTTTGAATCACCAGGCCGTCTCGGCCAAAATGATCCAAAACCAAATCTATGGGATTAACAAACCGTCACGGTTAAATTACCCATGTAAATTTAATATGATAATTTTTATTTAGAAATATTGATAAAATCTAAATGGGTTTTACGTCATTATTAGTATAACGTAAAGAAGAGATGAATTGAGAAATTTGCAATGTTCTTTCATGAATGTGCAGACCAAAAAGATGAAGCTAATGTATATTATTAAAATATTCCAATCATGTTATAATAAGACAAAGTACCATGTTATCACTACTATTATAATTTGAAAAAAATATGAATTGAAGAAAAGAGGCAAAGTTGTTTCGTAAGATGCAAACCAAAAAGATGAAGCTAATGTATATTATTAAAATATTTCAATGTTACTTTCAATAGAATGGATGATGCCCCACTTGTACATATTTTTTAATAAAACAAAATGGCTAATCGACAAATATGCTTTGTGGGAATTGTGAATGCACAGAGACATAAACCAAGTAACATGATGCGTGCTATTCTACGGTATAGAAATGTTTCTTTCCTGATGATCAAAGGTGGATATCACATTAAAATATTAAAATATTAAATCTTTGGAGCATGTGATATTTTCTAACAATATTATTTTAATCTATCATACATCACAAAGACAACAACTAATATAGGACAAAAAACTCATGGACCCAAGTTAACACATGGCTTCCTAATGATACATGCAACAAATAAAATAGACAAAAATTCATGACCGCACATCACACATGGCTGAGATCTAAAGATAACAAATTGACATAATATGTTTCAACCTTCTCCCTCAACGTTTCAACTAAGCTCCAGTGTATGTTTAGGTTCCATCATTAAATGAGATCACAATCTTTCTCCATATTATATCCTTAGAGATTTCTAGATCAGTCAACAAAAGGGCAATAATATTTTAACACGAAAAAACAACAACTCACAAGTCCTTAATCAAGTTAAGGTCCTCACGATGGTGAGGGAGAAACTTGCAGCAGTTGACGACGTGGGTGTAGTAGAGATTGCGTGAGCTTTGGACGATGTAGCACGGTGATGGACAATCTTCCAAAGTGACCGTGGCAGGGGATGAAACCTTGGGATTTTGGTATTTCACGTCTTTTAGAAGATTGTGATGAAGGAGGTTGTGGAGTTGGCTTCCAGTGACCGGCTGATGGCGTGAGGAAAGCAGCAAATTTGGTGCAGTGTGAAGGATCTTCTAGCAACCTTACGGGAGGGCGCAGAGGGTTGAGTTGATGGTGGCTTCTTTAATTGGCTTGGTCATGAGTTTTCTCTCACAGTGTGCACATATGAGTTTCTATCTTTTCTATTAATTTGTTGGTTCTCTTTTAAAACCTTCACCCCCCTTCGTTCTGTATGTCCTTGGTATTTATAGAGGGCTATATCATGAGATTTCTTCGCACGAGGGTTTCCAGCCACTCCACCTTGCAGGCTTTTTGATGCAACAGTCGGCGCCTCTGCTGTCCTATAGCTATTCTTCCACCGCCCCAAACTCTACTTTCTATAGCCTTATCCTTTCTTTCCTTTTTTATTATTTTTTTCTACGACGTAACCCAACAATTTGGCTGTTAGAGATGGATAACAAGTGGGTTTATTGAAATGTAAAGATGAGAGATGGGTGAGAGGCATTATCAACATTTCCTTTTCATTAAGAAACATACCTTACTATTACTTTATTTTTATTAATATTTTTTATTCTCTATTTTCCTTTATTTCCTTTTTTTTATAAAACAAAAATAATGATAATAGAAGGTTCACATTTTTCTTTATTATTGTTTTTACTGTTTATTATGTGGGAGGACAAAAATGAGTGATTACAAACCTTAATTACTTTTGATTATAAATCCTAATTCATATTAATTCTTGGATTTTTATATTATTAAGTCACGTTATGAAATATCATTAGTTTCATTATGTCATGATACTTAAATTTTACTAATTTCTGAATTAGTGCACCTAAATCCTACTTTGGTCCAATTTTAGAGTTTAATCCTTAATTAGTGTATTATGCAAATTAAGTCCACTTCACTTAACCACTAAATTAATATCCTAATTAGGTCTTAATATTAATTTTAACATAGTGACCCTACCTTAAGCCTACATGGCTGAATTGTTTAGGTGTTTATTTTAGTATTTTTAAGCCTATTTCTTAGTCATCTCATTAGTTAATTAAGTCCTACACTTAATTAGTCCACTAATCCATCATTTAATTAAATTTTAAACATAAAACCCTAATCATACTATTTAGGGAAGATTTGATTAAGTGGTATTCTTAGGGTTCAAATCCATTCCTTAGTCATAATTAATGTTCTTAAGATTAAAGGTTGCATTTTTAACCTTTCCCTTGGTTCCACCTATGATTATCCACACTTTAGAACATCAAGAACCCATTTTTACCAAATTAAAACATCAATCCCATAGAAAAATCATGATGGCTGAATCATATAGGTGGATGGGAAATAATTTTGGTCAACATTTCTCCAAGTAATCATGCTTGCTTCTTCAAGTTAGTTCCAAGGCTTCAAGCTTCCACTTTTCTCAAGCAAGGATGCATCTTTTCCACAAAGAACACACCTTTAAGAAAGACTCAAAGTTAGAACTCAAGAACACAACTCAAAGGTGGGATTTTTCAAGAAAAAGATTCAAGATGCTTACACTAAAACTCAAGTAAACAAGAACCAAAAGAGTGTTCTTCAAAGAGAACTCAAAACATCATCTCTAAGGCTTGAACTTGTCAACACCATGGCTGTATGCAAGGAGAGTCACCATGAAATTTTGGTTTCTAGCAACAAAAATGGTATATTCTTGAAGAGGATGATGAGAGGAACAACTTTGATGAAGAAGGTTTGGTGATTTGGTGAGGTTTTGAAGATGAAATCTTAGAGAGAAGTGAGAGCAAAGTTGGAAGTTTGAATTTTAGAGAGAGAAGTGAGAAGGGGCTGCTGAAATCTGACCAGAAAATGGAGGGGGTGGTGCCCTAATGAGGGGTGCCATGTCACTAAGTGACCATTCGTCCTTTAGTGAGACCCGGTGGAATTTTTAACTGATCCGTCATCAAATTTTTACCCAGAAACTCCCAAGACTCTAACTTTAAGTACTTAACATTAATTTTGTCTAATTATCATGTTCATAACTTAAAAATTTGATTACTAGATCAAAGATCCACTAACAGTTGTTTAATTGCACTGTAGACTTTATCGGTGTTCTTAACTGTACCCGGATTTCATAATCATCTTAACTTTAACATTTTTGGTCTAATTATGACTTTTTAGACATATATTGGTCTTTATTTCCATTTTCTCATCTTTTTCCCGTTCCGGGATTCTACCGGCTGCTGCTACAATGGGTATCAATCTTCATCAAATCATATCCTAACCTCATTCATGATGTTTATATCATTAGATTATCTCTCTAACTATAATTTTCTGACTTGGAGCTATTCTACTGATTGTCACTGCGTCAACCGTCAAAATTTAACTGATGAAAATTCATCTGTGCAAAATACCCTCAATATGGGTATCAAAAATCTTAGAATTTCATCATCATTCTATTTATGACCATAAGGTCCTCATTATAACCCTCTAATTTAAAATTCATTTAATTAGGGTTATTATATTCACCGCACCTTTTTAAAAGATTTTGTCCTCACAATCGGATCATACCTGATATCAAATTCGGGATAACGCCGGAAAATATCATCCTCCCGCTCCCATGTGGCGTTGTCAGGTGTCAATCCTTCCCATTGAATCTTGATCATGGGAATGACTCTATTTCGAAGCCTTTTCTTATCTCGAGCAAGAACCTTAAAAGGTCCAACAACGAACTTAAAATCATTCATAACCTCTATGTCATCGGGTTGTACAATATGTGAATCATCAGATATATATCTGCGGAGCTGACTCACATGGAAGACGTCATGTAAATTTGCCAAGTTGGGAGGTAGAGCAAGTTGATACGCCACCAGTCTGACCCTCTTTATTATCTGGTAGGGCCCAATGAATTGTGGACTCAACTTGCTCACTCCCAAGGCACGTCCAACACCTGTAGTGGGTGATAATCGAATGAATACATGATCCCCTTCAGAAAACTCAAGGGGTCTGTGCTTGGCATCATAGTAACTTTTCTGACGGCTTTGGGCTTTCTTCAGCCTATCTCTAATCATCTCAATATGCTCTGTGGTCTCTTGGACCAAGTCTGGCCCCATTAATTGTCTCTCTCCAATATCCGTCCAACAAGTAGGTGCTCTACACCTACGGACATACAAGGCCTCATAAGGGGCCATGCCCAAACTGGCATGATAACTGTTGTTGTAGGAGAACTCAACCAGTGGCAGGTACTTGTCCCAAGCATTACCCTGCTCTAACACACATGCTCTCAACATGTCCTTTAATGTCTGAATGGACCTCTCTATCTGAACATGCTTGAGGGTGGGCAAATGGTGCCTCTACCACACAATTTTTTTTTTTTAATTTTTCCCTCCTTTATGTTCATGTCCTACAAGAGGCGACTTTCAATAAGAACTTATCTACCTTGACTATAACATTTTCTATTTTTCCTTCGGGTTGGGCTAAGGATCTATCAGCCAATTGTAAAGTTACAGTGGCGAGTCTGGCTTCCCCTACCTCTAGCTTCCTAAACACACTCTTTGGAATCAAATTGATTCTAGCTCCTAAGTCACACAATGCCCTTCCTATGTAGTGGTCACCTATGGTACAAGGAATTGTAAAACTACATGGATCCTCTAATTTTGGAGGTAACTTGCTCAACAAGTATTTGCTTCTTTCTTGAGTAAGAGTAATAGTCTCGAATTCTTCAGGCCTCTTTTTCCTAAAGAGGATCTCTTTTATAAATTTAACATAAGTGGGCATTTGTTATAAGTCTTCTACCAATGGGATATTGATATGGAGTTATTTTAGGAGGTCTAAAAACTTCCTCAACTAAGCATCTTGCTTTTGTTTTTTAATCATTTAGGGAAAGGATTGAGGAGGTCTATTAGAAATATTTGTTGTTATAACAATGGGCTAAGAGGGATGATTACTTGCTACAGCCTTTGCCCTCGGGTTAATTCTAAATTTTCATCAACTTGAACTTGAATTTTAGGTTCAACCAGAATTGCAGAAGTGACGTCATCTTCTGTCTCCTTGTTATTAGCTTGTTGAGAACTTGTTGATGCAGATCCATCTTGGTATTGTCGCTCCTTGTCCTTTTCTTGTTGCACTGCTTCTGCCATTTTCAATTTTGAGGGTCTAATGACAGCTTTAGGCTGATTTACCAGCCTCCCATTTCTCTATTCAATCATCTTTCAGTGCTCATTCTTATATCTCTGAGGATCTTCAGTGTTACTCGGAAAATTACCTAGAGGTCTTTTGTTTATTGCAATAGTTAATTGACCTAGTTGAGTCTCTAAGCTTCTAAAAGAAGCAACTATACTCTGAACAACAGCCTGTAAATTATTTTTCTTAGCTCCATTCTTGACCAAATAGTCTCTAAGCAAAGACTCAAGAGATGAGGAAGGTATGTCCACTTTCTAATTTTGAGAATTCTGAGAAGGAGGCTATTGCTTAGGAGGTTGTTGTTGATAATTTTAAGCAGGGAAAAGTGGTCTTGGCAAGGCATTTAAGGGACCAGCTTGGATGAGCCAACATATGATTAAGATGGAGGGAATTGAGGTTTGTTCAGCTTGGCTTCTAGGGCTTGACCTTGAGTTTCTACTAAGGTTGAAAGAGCATCAACCTTAGCTGACAAGGTTGTCATAGTATCAACCTCCTACATTCTAGCTACCCTTCTTTCTTGAGACCTATTCGTAGGCCATTGAGAGTAATCTTGGGCTATTTTCCCCAAAAGCTCATTGCCTCATTAAAGGACTTGGACATGAACATCTCATTAGCATCATCATCTGCTATGATTCTATTTTAAGGACTCAGACCATTATAGAAGGTCTTGGTCAAAAGCTTCTAAGAATGGATCGGGAGTTGCACTGTACACTCTTTCTCTTAGATTTAAAAAAAAACAAAGTGCTAAACTAACAATATTCAAAGGAAATTTAACTAAACAGAAACTTAACTGAAGAAAAATAAATAACAAAAATTTAAGACTCATAAACAACAGCCACTAAATAGATAACAAATACATCGACCAAGTATGAACAAATATCCATATATCAGCACGGCACACTAGCAAACATAAAATAAAATAATACAAATTGCAAAACTTAATTCTAAGACTTAAAAATATTACCAAGGAAAACAACTAAAACTAATAAAAATGCTACAACTACACACTATCGAAGTATGAAACAAATGATACCGAAAAATTTAGTTTAAGTAGTGGACAAAATAACAGCAGCAAAATTTATTATATATCAGTAAAATATTTCCATAAGCTTGACTATTAATACAGACGGCAAAAGGAATTTGCAAGAAAATTGAAAAAATGAAACTGAAAACAAACTCAACAGATAAAAATAAAAATTACAAAAATAGAAATATAGTCTCAAAATTAAATCAACAGCATCAAATACAAGATTAATATATAAAGAAAATCAAAATACTAAGAAAAATAACAACAACAAATATAAAAGAACCCCACCACAGCAGAATTATAACAGAAATACTGAAATACAAAACGCATACTATTCAGCAAATTACTAATAACAGCAAAACAACCACACACAAAAAAATGCAAGTAAGCTGAAAATATACGCCTCCGATCCAAGGCAATGGCGCCAGAAACTTGTTGCCTTGCTAATGTTTATGCAAGTATACGCGATAACAAGTAATTTAGAGCGTATAAG